TGTGACTCGTTGAAATAAAGTTTAGGTGACTGTGACCTAGCTATTGTGGTTCTTTTTGGTGTCTGTGACCTTACTATTGACCTGTGACTTTGAAATTGATAATTTGTAACTTAAAAAGGGAATCTGTGACCTTAATTTTTTTCATCTGTGATCTCGAAATAATCTGTGACTTATAAAATTTTAAATCTGTGACCTCGAAATAATTTGCAATCTACAAATTTTTTTTATCTGTAACCTCGAAATTACTTGTGACCTACAAATTTCTTGATCTGTGACCTCGAAAAAGTCGTCGGATCGGAGCAGTCACCGGTTGCCGGAGTAGTAGCCGGAGCAATGGTGGTGGTGTAGGTGGGTGAGGTGGGGTAGGATGGAGTGATTTTATTATATTACAGTTAAATATTTAATTTAATATAATAATTATGAAATGTAATTAATTAATTTAAGAAAAACCTGATTTTTATAATTTTAAATTGTTGGGCCTGATTTTTAATGTTGGAATAGTAAACACCTGACCCATAAACTTTTCCCTTGTAATTTCCACATTTTAGAAACCAAACATGGATCTCCGTTTGGGCTTTGAGCGGCTTGTGGCCCATTTACGTATTTTCGGCCTATCTATAGTTGCTATAAATTTTCAACAAAAACAGCAGTAGGGTTTTTCAGTTCACCTGTGAACCCTGCAACGCCGTTACTCCTCGCAGGTTCTCTCTCGATTTCTCTCTTACACACTGTTAGGATAAACAACTGCATTTTAGATTCATTCACTCGATAATTTCTCTTAAATTTAATCTAAAGCATCTGTCTTTATACTGCAAGCATGTAAATAAGCTGAACTGATTGGAAACGCGATAATATGAATGTTTTCGTACATTTTGTTGTTTCAGAGTGAAGGAAGGGAAATATGTCTCACAGGAAATTTGAGCACCCAAGGCACGGGTCACTCGGGTTTCTCCCGAGGAAGCGAGCTGCACGCCATAGGGGAAAGGGTAAGCAACTTTTAAATTGAGAATAAACCAAATGTTAGGAAAAGGATTGCATCTGTCCTTTCTTTTAGCATGTCGTTTTGTGTGGCAGAGGGAGGTGGAACAATATTTTCTTGAAAATTATGTATACAGATATAAAACAAAACGTTGCTAATCAGTAATCAGCCATCTAAATTTTTACCTCGAAAGTGTTAATATCGAAGTAATTTTTTTTTTATATTAATAGTTGGAGAAAATTATTTGCACATTGGTTATGACTGGTTGAGTCTGGGAAATGAAAATAATAATAATCTGGACTATAAACATATTTACAACTACTTACTATAAGGAATAATGCTATTTAGCCCACTGTGATTATAACCTTGGTCCATGTGTTGTTAGGTGATGTGCTAAATGAAAGGTGAAATTAAATGACCTATTTAATTTCAGTTATCATTTAATGCCACATTAGGGCTATAGAGACTAGGGTTATAACCCCATTGTGGCTAAATAGCATTACTCTAATATAAGAGGTATTCTGACAATCTGTTTCAAATTCATGCTCAATATGGTTTTATATATTATACTGATTTCTTTATACATATAATATATTGGCTATTCATCATGTGGTAGAATGGTAGAAAACCTAAATTTCTTTATACATATAACATTGTTCTTTGTCTTGAATAATGCAGTGAAGGCATTCCCTAAGGATGATCCCACCAAACCCTGTAGGCTAACTGCCTTCTTGGGTTACAAGGCTGGCATGACTCACATTGTCAGAGAAGTTGAGAAACCTGGATCAAGTATAGTTATTCCACGATAATTTTCTTTTTGATACCATGTGATTTATTTCCTGTTGTTGTCTTAATAATTTGTTGGCCAGATATCTGCTGACTTGAAATTTGTTTATTTGCATAAGTGGCTAAACAAAATGATGCAGTGAAGTTCTCTCTGAGCTTGTCTCTGTTTTCTACGAGTCATAAATTTTACTGTCTTGTTTTGTATCACTTGAAATTTGATTTGAATCTAATTTGGAACTGTTAATCGCAGAACTTCACAAGAAAGAGACTTGCGAAGCCGTAACTATTATCGAAACACCTCCAATGGTTATTGTTGGAGTGGTAGGGTATGTGAAGACGCCTCGCGGTCTTCGCTGTCTTAACACTGTTTGGGCTCAGCACCTGAGTGAGGAGATAAAGAGGAGGTTTTACAAGAACTGGTGCAAGTCTAAGAAGAAGGCCTTTACCAAGTATTCAAAGAAACTGGAGACCGATGAGGGGAAAAAAGATATCCAGTCGCAGCTAGAGAAGATGAAGAAATATGCATCTGTTATTCGGGTTTTGGCTCACACTCAGGTATCAATGGCTAAATCTTTTTTAATTTCCTAGGGCTTTTATCTTTAAAGTTCCTGTAGATGGAGCAACATGCCCAATTGGTGGAATACTCATGATGAGATGGGGGCGGTGCAAATCTAGTCTCCTTCTGTGCGGTGGGAATATAGTTCATAGTCACTGAGTACAGTCTACATAATTTGTTTGTGGAGATAACCACATTGGCATATAGGAATACTGTTTTGCTGCTACATACAAGGTCTTCTAATAATATTTGTATTTTAGATGGTCTACAATTTGATGCATTATCCTTCACATGAAATATTTGATCATTCTGCTGGATGGCTAAATTATGGTTAAAAAATATTTATTTGTCTATGAATGGATTAGTTAGATAGTGCATTACATTTTGGTGATTTCTTACTTGATATTAGATTTTTTTTATGTGTGTATTTTACGGCCCAAAAGCTGTGAGTCACTCTTTGCATTGTTTCCTCAAGTCATTTGTTTTGCATTTCTGGAAACTGAATTGCCTTAACAAATGCCCCCTCGCTACCTTCTGCTTCGGCTTCCAATCAAAACCGAGGGTGTTTAAAGGCTAGATTGGTGCATCCCTCAGCCATTCCCTCCCCACCTGTCATAATTGAAACTTGAACTTCCACATTTGAAAGTGGCTACTACAGTTCCGAGAAGTCTTCTGGCTTCTTGTTCACAAGCACACAGACTAATCAAATTCCATCTGTTCACAATGCAGATAAGGAAGATGAAGGGGCTGAAACAGAAGAAGGCACACTTGATGGAGATACAGGTTAATGGTGGGACTATTGCCCAGAAGGTTGACTTTGCATATGGTTTCTTTGAGAAGCAGGTCCCTGTGGATGCTGTTTTCCAGAAAGATGAGATGATTGATATTATTGGTGTGACAAAGGGTAAAGGTTATGAAGGTGTTGTAACCCGTTGGGGTGTCACCCGTCTTCCTCGCAAAACCCACAGGGGTCTCCGAAAGGTTGCTTGTATTGGTGCATGGCACCCTGCTCGAGTTTCCTTCACTGTTGCCAGGGCTGGTCAGAATGGATACCACCACCGTACTGAAATGAACAAAAAGATCTATAGGCTTGGCAAGACAGGGGAAGAGACACACACGGCCAGCACTGAGTTTGACAGGTTCAAATATTATCTGGCACTTTATTCTCACAACTAAACTCGTGGTTTTCACCATTCTCAACTCAACCAATGAAAACTCTTAATTAATCCTCATGAATGTGTTCTGTTCAATATGGTCCACTGTATATCTGCTTTCATGGAGTACTCTGATTGAAACTTGTTTTTTGTCCTTGATATTCTTTTGTAGGCATGTTATGTCTGGGTTTTTCAAATCTTGCACTAGCTCCCTGACATACAAGTTTTTTTCCGATAAGCTGATTATGATTTTTCGCCCCTCTAAATGATTTCAGGACTGAGAAAGATGTTACGCCTATGGGTGGATTTCCTCACTATGGAGTGGTCAAGGATGATTTTCTGATGATCAAGGGTTGCTGTGTTGGTCCTAAGAAAAGGGTTGTTACACTCCGTCAGTCTCTCCTCAACCAGACTTCTCGCCTTGCCCTTGAAGAAATCAAGCTCAAGTTTATTGACACCTCTTCCAAGTTTGGACATGGACGCTTCCAGACTACAGAGGAGAAGCAGAAGTTTTTTGGTCGGCTCAAGGCCTAAGTTATTCTAGTCTCAGAAGAAATTGTGAGAAACTTTGGATTTCATCAGTTTTGCATTCGATTTGATTATGAAGTATCTGAATTTCTTTTTCTGGACCTCTGCACTAATGGTGCAAAACTTCTTGATTGTACTTCTTAAAAGTTTACCGTCTTTTATCACTAGCTGTTATTTACTGATATATTGTCGAAATGTTATTTTTATTCTACAAAATGTTTATTTTGACGTTTTTGATGCTCTTTACATATTGCATTTCGGAATTCGTTATATAATAGTCCTCTTAATGGATTTTATTATTTATATACACATTATTCAGCTGGCTCAACCTCATGTTCTTTCGCATCTCCAAGAATCCAATTAGATGATAGAGCACGGTTCGCTGAACAAAAAAAAGGAACGAACAGAAATCATTCTTCATCCAGCAAAAAAGGAGCAATGTTTTAAACTGCACAGAAATAACATTTGTTACGCCTCAGCTTAAGTGGCTGGTCATGTGGCAAACAAGCAAGTAGAATGCCGCCCAAAGTCGAACACTTGGTATTCTCTTCCGCATGCCCTATTTTGAGGAGACTAGGATAATTTGGAGAAATCCTCTGTACAAGTAGGCACGGTCTCCTCATTGTTGATATTGCCTCTTTTGAGGTGGTTGACATTCATTGTAAGTTTCGCCTCAATCAATATGCACAAAGTACTCTATA